GGAGGGTTTCAGTCCATTTATCCGACTATTTATAACTTGGCTAAGCCTGGAGTATTGCAGTTGTTAATACGTAAGCAGTTTCCAGTTTTATTTCCACATGTTTTTTTCTCCATCAGTGTTGCATGTATTTGCACGTTGTGTAACACCCCGTCTAGTGTAGTAAAATATGAATTCATCTGATGGAATGAAGAAGGAAGTCTTGTGGAAAAGTACTAGTGTGTACAGCTTGCTCCGAACACATATCCCTATTATTAGCGTTGCTATTATTAGCATGCAGCTTCCACGTGGATGTGTGCACATGTAATAAGGGAGAAATTAAATAACATCTTCATTTAGATCAACATGATCAAATTAATATATGTTGTCCTATTCAGAGCGCACTTGCTGTATAATTTTTGTGATCTGTACTCATGTAGAGTGTTGCCGAAATTCCCTTTCTTCTCAATGTTCCTCTTTCTTTACATGTGTGTATTTTTATCTGTGATGTCATCTATCTCGCGCGCTCTCTCTCTCTCTTTCTCTGTATATATAGATATATATTAACAAGATCACATGTGGTTAAAAACAAATTTGTGAACGAGATATAACATTTCGAGCACGTGGACGCACCTGCATGCGCTTCATTTCTATCCATCTATGCTCAAAAAAACCCCCATTTGGGATTCCTAGAGAAAGGGTGTGCATTCACTGAAGCCAAAACATATCGCCTCGCTATGCAGCAAATGTGCATCTCGCGCGCGCCGTATCTGCTGCAACACAGCGGGCGCGCACTCGCCGTAATTCAAAAGCGTGGCCGCGGGGCGTTAGTTTGTTGCTATGGTGACTGGCGGGTAACAATAATCGGTGCTCGATGAGGGATGCTGTTCGTGTAAACACGGTGCTATAGAAGGGTGGACGGCGGCGCGTGACTGGCGGCACAGCCTCACACAGCTGCTGCAGGCGCATGACTCATCTCGTTCGCTGGGTTGACGCATCCTCATACGATCGCGGAAAGCGAAATTCTGGAGGAAGTTGAGGAGGCGACTGTGGTGGTGGTGGTGGTGGTGGTGGGGGGGAGGGGGAGGTAGGGGCAGGGAAAACCACGGATTCGAGTCGTTGCTAAACGCTACCAGTTTTTATGTTTCTGTGTTGGCCTTGTGCTTGCATTGGCAAATCTTCAACTATTCTGTTTTCAAACGTATACTGTAACAACAACATACGAGCATGTGTACTGCGAGCGTGTGCTGGTGTGCTGGGAACTAACGTACTAATGTCTCGTTTCGTAGTGTAGTTTAAGTATAAATACTGGACATGCTATATATACGTTTATGTCTGCTGCACACCTAGTAATTAACTATTCTATTTCGCCATTTACAGGAAACTGATGAATTGGTGGCAATTAAAAAGTTCAAGGACAGCGAAGGTAACGAAATAGACTTGAACACCACACTATTGTCTCTTGATCACAAAACGGGATACTTCTACAAACATTAAACTTGCTGCACATTGTATTTCCATTCAGAAATAAAATTATCATCTCCTGCATTGCTTATCAATGAATCCTTTAGACTGTGCTATAATTCGACCGAAAGCGCTGCAATAGCACTCGGGGCTGCTTAGCGCAGGGGGATTGGCGAACTCAAAAAACAAAGTGTCAATTTCGCGGCAGTACGCGTATAGTAAGCATGCGAAAGCAAAAAAACAAAGTGACATTGACGCGGGAGTACGCGTATAGCAAGCCATCTGCGCGCACGTGAACGTTTCGGTTCGGATCACGCACGGACGTCCTTGTAAGGTAACTAAATGTAGCGCCTTGCATACGTCGTAACATCATGCATACGTCATACGGAACTGGAACTCTCACTCTCACTTTCGTTTATTGCCGTCGTAATCTATGTCTCTATGTCGCGATATGGAACCGTGCTTTCGCAACACTACGCCCCGCCGGCGACGCGTTGCAGACAACAACAAGGTGCGACGTACGACAATGCAGGAGTTGAAGGTGTTTACGGGGCAGTATGCATGTTTACGCTTGTTTACGCACGGAAGCGTTGCAGATAACAACGAGGTGCGACGTACGACAATGCAGGAGGTGAAGGTGTTTACGGGGCAGTATGCATGTTTACGCTTGTTTACGCACGGAAGCGTTGCAGATAACAACGAGGTGCGACGTACGACAATGCAGGAGCTGAAGGTGTTTACGCGGCAGTATGCATGCAGGGGTCGAAATAAGCGATGGTCCGATGGTCCGGGGCCAGGAGGTAGGACCATCCGATGGACCATTGAATATTTTGGTCCCATTTTACGGTAAATTTATTGCACGCCGAATTACTTTTAGAGATGAATTCGAAATTTAGGAGGACCATCTAAAATTTAGGAGGACCATCTAAAATTTAGGAGGACCATCTAAATTTCAAACTAGATGGTCCTGTTGACCAACTCTTTTTTTCTCCTTATTTCTACCCCTGTGCATGTTTACGCTTGTTTACTACGCACGGACGTGTTGCAGATAACAACGAGGTGCGGCGCACGACAATGCGGGAGCTGAAGATGCTGCGCATGCTGAAGCTGGAGAACATCGTCGAGCTGAAGGAGGCCTTCCGTCGTCGCGGGAAGCTCTACCTCGTCTTCGAATACGTCGACCGGGTACGCTCTCTTGTTTTCGTCGACGCGGTTACGCGCGCTTGTTTTGTAGACCGGGTTACGGAGTACGCTCTCTTGTTTTCATCGATGCGGTTACGCGTGCTTGTTTTGTAGACCGGGTATGGTAATGCACTGTTGTTTTCGTCGGCCGGGTACGCACTCTTGTTTCGTTGACTGGGGACATGCTCTTGTGGACCGGGTATGCGCTCTTGTTCTGTCGACCGGGTACGCGCTCTTGTTTCGTTGACCGGGTATGCGTCTTTTTGTCTTCCTTGTATTTGTGAATGCCGAGAATGAAACTGAATTTTGGTTTTTATTGCAATGAAAATATTGCGTATAACTACTTTATTGTTCATAATCCTTGACTTTGTCGTTTTTTTGATGTTGCATAGAACATGTTGCAAGAGTTAGAGCAGCTGCCTAAAGGAGCAGGGCTTCCCAGTGACAAGATCAGAAGCTACGTCTACCAGCTGGTGAAGGCAGTGCACTGGTGCCATAACCATGACATCATACACAGAGGTATACCCCACCCGCACATACCACCCTCCGTTGTCTTGATCTTACGTTTAGAAATTTATCATTCATTTAATTCTCTTTTTTTTCACTCCATCGATTCATTAACTCTCGACGAATTTTTATTGCCGTAATGCACTCTGCCGTTAAAAAAATCGTTTTCTACTTTGCTACTTTGCTGCCGATCAATACAGCTAATCGTCATTATGTGTTTCTTCACCGTCCGTCATCTGTAATGATCCATCGTTCTTTTACGTCCCGACTGCAGCGTAATAACACGGCGGGTCCGCGGCGGCACGTAATTCGTGGCGTCTCCGATTGCACTTTCAGACATTAAGCCCGAGAATCTGCTCATCAGTTCTAACGACGTCCTCAAGCTGTGCGACTTCGGTGAGTGCGCGGTGATGTTTGCCCGCGCGTCATGCGGCGGCGGCCATTTGTGGGTTAATGATGGTCCGTGTGCTGCGTGCAAAGGCCTCGGAGCAATTAATCAACACTAGTGCACTACTCAGTCTCTGCAAGGGTCCACTATTATGCTAGCGCATTAAGCAAGAAACGTGAAGGGGGGAGGGGGTAATATTAGCAGTGTGGGAAACTCTGTGGGAGGGGGTAGAGGTAGCATTGGCACTATGAGGGAATATGGGATGGGAAAGAGAGGCGCTCTGAGAGACTGTGGGATGGGAAGAGAGAATTAACACGGCGAGGGACTGTGGGAGGGGAGGGGGCGGCAATGGTGTTGCGATGTAAGAGAGACTGTGTAGAAGGGGAAGGGGCACCAATGCTATCTGAGACTCGTGGGAGGCAAGGGCGTGAGGGAAGGGCCACACCGCCTCGCCGAGAGAGCAAGCTGTGGTTAGTAGCTGCCTTTTGTTTAAATTTCGGCGCAAAACGCATCGAGTTTGCTGGCAGCAGAATGGAAAATCGTGTCATATGTTTTAGTCTATATCTCCGGATTGCGGGTGCATACGAGGAAACGATTTCGCATGATGCTAGGCGAATGTACTGTGTACGATTTGAGCTCAAGTTGGATGAGTTACGCGTAGTAAATCGTAGGTATTATAAGGCTAGTAAATGACGAATTTCCCTTGTTTATTGAAGTCACACTCCTTCCTTATTATCTACTCTTGAAATTGTGTAAGAGGAATAAATCGATGTTACGACCATTCGCACGTGTTCTACTGGTTGCTTTCTGAAGCAATGTGAGAGTTCACAAGTGTCACCACTCATCGTCTCGCCGTGCGCAGGTTTCGCGCGGACCACGCAGGGAGAGCAGACGGCTAATTACACTGACTACGTGGCGACGCGGTGGTACCGGGCACCAGAGCTGCTGCTAGGGTGAGTCATCATTAGCGGAAAGCCGTCGCGGCGGCGACGGCGGCGGCATCGTCCCGCAAAAACGGAGAACCCTGATTCGCTAGAACGGACAATTAGCGCCGGCAAAATTTTTTTTGTCGGCGCATTTAATATCGCTTTCGAGCGAGAAAAACTTATTTGCGAGGCATTTAACGATGTTAGCGTTTTTTCCTGTGACCATGGCAATAAGGTAGTTTCGTAATGGATGGATTTGCACTTTGCATTTTTGTTAGTATAATCTATGATCGAAACGAACGTGCAATTTCATAAAAAGATTTCTTCAGTTATATGCATTTTAATTTATGTTCGTAATTGAAATTGGATGAATTCTGCGCAGTGACACAGTTCATCAATTAAACATAGGTGAAATTTTCGATGAGGTCCCAATGTTAAGCAGGTTGATGAATTGAATGTAGACCAGAGTACAAGTCGAAAAATCACTCCGATCCGCGAGCCGATCGCGACCTTGAACGTGGCCCTGAACTTGACGTTAAACGTGAATACGTGCCTGACCTCGAATGTGATCTTGAGCCTGACCCTGAACGTGACCTTGAACGTGGCCATGAACTTGACCTTGAGCCTGACCTCGAGCCTGACCTTGAATGTGACATCGAACTTGACCTTGACCCCCGACCCTGAACACGACCTTGAACTCTTGGCAGAGGCTCGTACGGCAAGGCGGTCGACGTCTGGTCGATCGGCTGCATCCTTGGGGAGCTGAGCGATGGCCGGGCACTCTTCCCGGGCGAGAGCGAGATCGACCAGCTCTACACGATCCAGCGCGTGCTCGGCCCGCTGCCGCCGCAGCAGATGCACCTCTTCTACACGAACGGCAACTTTGCCGGCTACAACGTGAGTAGCCGTCGATGGGGCGTTGTCGCGGAGCGAGGCGGAGGGGGACGGGGGTGTGTGGGGGCTACGGTTTGTTAAATAGACTTGCGATGGCGCTGCGTTAGTATGAGGGCAGTGGAACGGTTCGTCAGTCAACCGGTGTGTGGCGTTCTTTTGTTTGTTGACGTATTGATACGAAAGACAAATCGCGAGAATAAGAGACAATTACAATGCGAGTAGCTATTGATGGTGTCGTGGAGCGAGGCAATCGAGTGGGGTTAGTTATGTAGGCTCGTGATAAGGCGGCGTGAGTATGAGGGTGGTGGAACGGTGCGTCGTAGTTTGATTGTCGTTTGTCTCATTATTTGATGAATGATCGTAGGTGATTAAACTGGTGTGCGGCCTTCTTTTGTTTGTTGATTGTTTTTTATGCGGAAGACGAATCGAGATACGCACCTTCAACTATAGAATTAGGATTGATAGGAACTAGGATATCAACTAGTGAGTCATAGTCTAGTTCGTCTTATTAGTTGAATGATCGTGGTTGATACAACCTTACTCTGCACTACTAATGTCTTATTCGATCGTTTATTGCAGTTTCCAGCGGCACAGAACTGCATGACCCTCGAAAAGCGCTACGAAGGTGTCATGAGTGGTGTCATTTTGGCCTTGATGAAGGTGAGGCAGCAGCAGCACTGCTAGAAGTGGGTGGTAATCTCACTGCTGGTGTTCTAAAGTCTAAACGGTTTGATTTTGAGGTCAGATTCGAGGCTTTTCGCAGAATTTTTCCCTGAATCAGAATCAGCAGATCTTCATCTCGAATCAGTTTGAATTATAAATTCCTGTTGAGTTTTTTTTTTAGCGAAATTTAATGTCCCTTGTTTGTCTCAGTAATTCCATATTTGTTGTTTGTTTGAAGAGGGTGCTGGTGTATGACCACCACCATCGAGCCTCGATTGAGGAGTGTAGGAGACACGAATCGTTTCACACGGAATTTTCCTGCGACAAATCTCTCTTCGACAAACACATCTTGCCTGCACCGATCGGAGACATAGAGATAAGCGTAGAACGGACGGCAAGGTGAGTGCGACCATCGGTCATCGCATGGGGAGCATAAGCACGTTGTTCAGTCCATTAGAATTCATCCAGCGACGTAGCCGTCTGTACGTATGAGCGGAAAATCCATCTTCTCAACCTTACAGTTCACGGTTCTTTACTGTTCTTTACTTATCAGTATAAACATATAATAAATATAATAAAGCACTTCACAGTTCTTTACTGTTCTTCACTTATAAGTATAAAAATGTAATAAATATAATGAAGCACTTCACAGTTCTTTACTCTTCTTTACTTATAAATATAAACATATAATAAATATAATAAAGCACTTGACAGTTCTTTATTTACGCATCGTCGTGATGTCTCGTTTCAGCGAGGAGACAGCAGACTCGGGAATCATTGCTCTTCACAGTTCGCCGTCTAGTCGAGGAGTAAAAGCGCAGGAGAAATCGGGACTATCCTCGAGCCAACGCGCAGATTTGCACGAGGATCTCATCGCTGCGGACGCCGCGAAACCTGTTTTGGCCGGCAAGTCGACGCTCGCCGCGAAAACTAGACTGACCAACGAAGAGATGCTCCCCGCAAACCATCAGAAAACTAATCGGCATGGCAAGTCCGTTGCAACTGTGCAGAAAACTAGTCCACCTAGCAAGTCGTCCGCAAATGTGCCTGCGGTAACTAGTCCGCCTAACAAATCAATGGCTCCTGCAACCGTGCAGAAAACTAGTCCACCTAGCAAGTCGTCCGCAAATGTGCCACCGGTAACTAGTCCGTCTAACAAAACAATGGCTCCTGCAACCGTGCAGAAAACTAGTCCACCCAAAAAATCACCAGCAAGTGTGCCGGTAACTAGTCCGCCTAACAAAACAACTAGTCCACCCAAAAAATTACCAGCAAGGGGGCCTGCGGTAACCAGTCCGCCGGGTAAACCCGCAAAATCGCAAACGACTAGTCCTCCTTCCATCAGGCAAGTATCGCCCGCAAACGCACAGAGAAGGTCAGCTCCAAAACTCTCCGGCGCGGCAACGAGTTCGCCGACGAAGAGCGCCGATCCTCGCTCAAGCCACGCGCTCGACGTATCGAAAAAGCTGATAGAGGGCGCCGATGTGTCGTCGACGAAGCTGGCCGCGCAGCCGCCGGGCGCGAACGCTCGGGTCAGTCCCCCCCAGCTCAGTAAGTCCGTGCCAACGAAGCTGAACGTGGTGAAGCTCTCCCTCGCCGGCGACCCGCCCGCGCCCACCGCCAGCCGGCTGCAGTTCGCTCGCCTCGTGAAGAAGTGCGTGAAGACTGTGTCGCTGCGGGACCCGGGCGCGCGCGCTGCCGACGTCGCGTTCGGCCGGCCGACCGAGGTGCGGCTCAGCGTCGCCGGCAACGCGAAGGAGGTCGCGCATCTCTCCTTCCTCAACATGCTGCAGCAGTGCAAGAGCACGAAGGAAGCCACTGGAGGAGGAGGAGGAGGAGGAGGAGGCCGGGAGGATGGCATCGTCGTCTCCAAGCGGGCAAAACTCGACGAGACCCGCCTCGCGGAAGACACGACCGAGGTGTCGCCGCCACCGCCGCCGCCCATCGCCACCACGCGGCGGAGGCACGGGCGCGATCGTCGCCGCAGCGACGCGAAGACGACGCTGATGCCAACGCTGACGCCGACGCTGACGACGCGGGAGCTGCCGCTGGGCTTCTCCGGCTCGAGTCAGGTGATGGGGAACGCGCCCGAGGGCCACGACTTGCGGTCGAGTCTCGCGGCTTCCTCCCTCGCCGCCGCACCGAGGACTCCGGCTCCCGCCCTCCAGCCTCGCTGCCGGTCGCCGCCTCACAAGGCAGCGGCGGCGGCGGGGAGTCGGAGCCAGGCGGCCGCTCTCAACACGTACACGGTGAACTTCAAGGCGCGGCGGGCGTCGCACGGCGGTGATAATGACGAGGAGGCGGCGGCGGCGGCTTGCAGCCAGCAGGGGTCTCCTCCGCATCACAGGGGCAGCAGGGGCCACGTGCCGAAACGCACCCCCAGTCAAGAAAACTCTGTGAAGTCTCTCACGCAGCGACTGGCCAACGCCAAGGTGAGAAAGAACGTGTGCGTGGGCGGGGGGGGGGGGGTGACTCGTGCGCGCGTGTGGTCAAGATTAGATCATCGTCGCCTTCCCCCTTGCCGGTTAAATCCTGTCACTTATTCGACGGTTTATGTGATCATATTATTTATATTCATGTTATTATCATATTCGTCGTGAGGTTTTCCTCCTAGCATGTCCTGTCTTTGTCATTGAACCTAATTGAAACCCGTTTTTGATGTCAATTGATTTTCAGATTCAGGACGACATTTCAGTTGCCATGCCGAGTCTCGACAAATCTCAGTTGGGCTTTGAAAGATCTCAGGGCATGAGTACGTCTCCGATACCAACATCGATGCCTGCGCTAAGTAAGACTTCCCAGGAGACGAGAGGCCAGGCTGGGGATTGGACGTATTGGGGTGCGGACGGGGCATTGGGCTCCCATGTGGGATCACGTGCAAAGCGAAAGCAGCACAAATATCAAGTGAGTATTCGAGGGAATGTTGAAGCTACTAATTGTATCCCCGAACGAAGTTCGTGGGGATACTATGGGCGTTTGCGCATCGTCCGCCGAAGATTTCTTCGTGAATACGCCTCTACCTGTGCAGTTCTTACTCCGATCATCGTTTAAATTTCGCATGAAGGTGCGTTATCGATAAAGCGAAGAGCCAAGCGTTTTTGGTGTGGGCGGAGTCATCATTGCCATGGTAACAACATTTTTTCCCAAGACATTCTAGCAACCTGTAACTTCTGCAGTTTTTACCCGATTGTCATGAAATTTATATTTGTATTAAAATTTATATTTAAATTTATATTAAAATTAAAAATTTAAATTTAATATTTAAATTTATGATGATCATGAAATAGTATATATATACATTATAATAATAATAGGAACATGCTTATAATCGGCCCTGTAGTGCCAATGTTCCCAATGACAATCGGTAAAAACAGTCACAAGTTACAGGTTCTACAATATTTCACAAAATGTTCTTACGGCATCGCACGATGACTTCGTTCCACACACAAAAACGATTGCTGTGCTTCGCTTTACCGAAACGCCACCACTGCCCACCCATTATCCCCCCCTCCCCCGTGTGTATTTCATTAGCTTGCACATGCTGAGGCAGACCGAGTTGTCTAACAACCTTGTCTTTGTGACTTATTTAAGCTTTACGCTGCCTCTCTACGTCCTCACAGAATATTCCATTCATACTAGTCACGGGGATACATGTATTGGCGACGAACTGCTAGCTTATCTAGTTACATTAGCTAAACGTTAATTACTAACCTTTCCCACCTTACCCGCAGACCTCGGACCAAAAACACGTTTGAGAGCGATAGAATCATGTGGGCATGCATCCCAAGCATCATGGACCTTACGTGCCAAGGTTAATGCATGCGTCCCAAGCACAAGGTATGTACTCGCGGGGCTCAGAGTTATGGACACGCGCCCAACCGCGTAACGCAAATTCGCTCGCAAGAGTCATCCACGTGGCAACGAGGACCGAGCCAGAACGAATGATGCATGTGCGACCGCGTAACGGATGGCAGTTAAATTTTGCTCTCGTCGTCGTAACAACCACACGCGCGCCCCACTGCGGTCTCTGACCGTTCATTCTTCGGTACGACCGACCCGCGTCGCTCACGGCCGCATTTTTTCCGAATCATTGCAGGGCAAGCATCAGCAGCATCAGCAGCAGCATCATCATCATCAGCAAGCAGCAGCATCATCTCCATCAGCACACAAGCATCAGGCCAGCAGCATCATCAGCAGGCAGATTATCAGCAGCTCAGCAGCAGCATGCAGCAGCAGCAGCGCAGCTGCTACGCGTCGAACCTAGCATTCAAATCTCTCGTCAGGCCCGTCAGCATCCACTCCGTTGCGACATCATCGTACGCCGCATACCGACGACCGGCGTGATCGCAGCGACGTGCTTCCGGCGGCAGGCGGCCGGCGGCGGCGCTCGTTCCGCACTCCCGCGTCGTACAGCTCGAGCTGGCTGACGGGGGCGCCACCGCGCAGCGAGCGCCTGAAGCCGACGTCGACGAGGGCGGGCGCGCCGCCGCCGGCCGCCATGTCTTTCAGCGTGACCGACCACGCCTCGTCAGGAGGCAGGCAGCGGAAGCCACTCGAGGCAGAGTGAAGGCGGTGAGGAGAGGTCACGGCGAGGAGAGGTCACGTCGAGGAGAGGTCATGGCGAGGTGAGGTCACGGCGAGGTGAGGTCACGGCGAGGTGAGGTTGTGGCAAAGAGACGTCACGACGAGGAGAGGTCACAGGGAGAGGTCGCGGCGAGGTGAGGTCACGGCGAGGAGAGGTCACGGCGAGGAGAGGTCGCAGCGAGAAGAGGTCACGGCGAAGAGAGGTTACCCAGGACTGCATGTCGTTGTTGGTGCTAGCTAATGGTTCTGTGTTGTGGAAGCTCCTAGTTGATACACTGATATACTTTCATCATAGCATATGCACGGTGGTAATCTATTGATATACTACAGGTAGTATCGATATATAGGATTGAGAATCAGAATGTTGAAGGTATGCGGTATGACTGTAACAGCATCGCGACGTCTAGTTGAAATGTGTGATGCAAATCGCAGATATTGACCTTGGCTTTCTCTCACCGCATTGTGCTGAAAATGTGTATTGACATGTATTGAAGTCACCATGTGACTGCCATCAAAAAGGTGCTGTCTGCAATTGCGTCACAAAGATAGTATATTGAGGGGGAACGGGCAGGGGGGGGGGTATTCCTAGTTTTCCAGTGGTAGAAAATATGTAATTTCTTTGTTAGCAGTTAACTGAAATCACAACGTCGACTTTTCCTGCTGTTCCTGAACCACGAAAAATTCATCCTGTATTTCTCAGTTCTTAGGTAATTATAATCCATCCAATTGCGAGATGTAATCGCTCCCCTCCCCCCCTTCTATATTGGTATCACTCTTGATAGACACTGTTCATGTATTAGCAGAGCATGTAATATTTACGCGTGCCAGCTACACGATGTTGGTTCTGCATTATGGAATAGGTTGCTGCATAGCTGCAACCGTCTTTCAGCCTGCATGGTGCGAGCGGAAGCAGCCAGACGATTTCGTTCACTTTATCGTGAAAATGCTCAACGGTAATAATACCGCGCAATTAGTGTCAGTGCTGTCATAGCAACAAATGCATGACGCCATTGCTGAGTGAGGAGTTGGCGGTTGCAAACTGTATAGACTTGTAGCTATACTCCACTGCGTGTGTTGTGGGTGTACAAAGTGAATGCGTCACTGTGTAAATATATGTTGTAGGTCTGCTAGATAGAGTAATGGCGATACTTACCTGGCGATGTTGCCACTATGTAATCCTGTACAGATTAATGATAGAGATGTCGTAACGAGTATTGTGAGTGTACTGTAAAGAAAATTAAACTTTATCGGGCGTCTTGAACATTGCACTCATATGAATGCCAGAACACTTTTTACAGACTTGCACTGAATGTGGGGTTTCCCTACACTTCGTGTTCAATAATTTATTTTATTTATACCTGAAGCATAATTACAGTATATTTCTATCACTTATTGAAAGCATACAGTGTGGATTATATATATGTATGTGTATATATAATATATACATATATATATATATATATATATATCCGTATGTAAGTTGAATTGTTCTTATAGTTTCATATGAGTACTGATGAAAATGTTAATAAAATAGTTCCTTGATGGACAAAATAGTAGATTCTGCTGAATTAATCTGTAGTAATTATTGGTGGCTTTGATTAAATCACCATTTTTCTATGACGTTTTAGAGGAGGGAGTTAATCTGCAGTATGAGTCCTAATACGTACGTGATCGAATCATAAACAAATAAATAAATATATATATATATACATGTCTATATACGTATACGTACACACACACACACATAGACATACGCATACGCGTGCACAATCACATACACATAGAATTGTGTATAGAATGCATTCAAGACCGAATACATATATTGCATTGCTGTGAGCAAAGTGAATTTTCTAGATCGGCTTTTACCGTGCACTCTTACCGTGGGCTTGCTTCTCTCCAGTTTGAACGTATGAGATCGGCCGAAGAATATTATCTTGGTAGTAAACCGCGACCGACGTCCGAGCGCCATTTTTTATGTACGCTGGCATAGATGGGAATCGTGGCTCGATGCTACGAGCAAAGTGAATCAGGAATAGGTCGCTATGTAAAATGTGAACCGTATTATCTTCCTCATATAATAATAGAGATCCCAATACTCGTTACATCTCAATACCGTACATTTTTTACTCTATAAACAGATGTATCCCATCTCCAGTTATAAAGAATATTAATTTTAATAAGCTACGTTTCCCTTCGGTTGATAATCCGCACGCGGTAACCCAAATGCATAGCCTTCAGTGCGCTCACAAAAATACCCTAAACAGGTAACCATGAATTAGGTGCAAATTGTAGTCATCCGTGAAACTCTCGTACCTGCCCAGTGGCGTATCCAGCATAGGGCGGAGCCGGCGTACGCCCCCCACCGAGTTTGTAGGCCCAGAAAAAAAATCATGAAGTGTTTTAAATCCTAAATTGTAGGGTTGAGTCTAGGGTTGAGATATGGCCTAGAGTATGCCTCAGATTGCAGGAAAATGGCTTAAATATTTCAAAATGTTCTGGGGGAGCACGCCCCCCAGAGCCCCCTAGCGCTGGCGTGCCCGCGGCACGCGGAGTTGCCTTCGGCAGCCCAGATACATTTCGCCCCCCTGTTCATCCATTTCGGAATACGCCACTGCTACCATTCTCACTCTGCCGTTCACATGCATTGCCTACAAGCTGCGGCCCTCTCTCGTCATGATGCACCTAGTTGAGTCACGCAATTTTGCCCCTTCTCGAGGAATGTACTCTGACTTTCCTCCCTGGATATTGGGCGTACTCTAACACAGAGTTGAAACATCCCTCGGGTCGCACTTTGTCACTGTTCGCTCGGTAGGTGGCGCTGTGATGCTGCGTGCCTCTGGCGAGTGTAGCTTTTAATCGTTTGAGAAATTCAGGTAACGATTCTAAAAGCAGAAGAAATAGAAGACGAAGAAAAAGAAGAAGAAGAAGAAGAAGAAAAGAAGACGACTAATAGACGATAAGGAGGAGAAGAAGAAGAGGGAGGAGGATGAGGAGAAGAATGAGGAGGAGGAGGAGGAGGAGAAGAAGGATGAAGAAGAAGAAGAAGAGGAGAACGATGATGAAGAAGAGAAGGAAGTGGATAAGGAGGAGGAATAGGAGGTGAAGAAGGAGGAAGAAGACGACGAAGATTGTGTAAGGAATATTGCTGCAATATGCATGATTATGTTGTCAGACAATAATTATGCAGTCTTTTCGCAATTTTGTCTACGTAGCAAATTAATGCAAAAAGACTGCGTATACGTACTTGTGCACTACCGCCTAAAGAAATTCATGATAGCACAGAATTATAAATATACATGGAGACCAAGCCGCCCAATGTCTTATACCCAACCCAAACGACCATATAATATATTGAGCCGGGTAAAAGTGCATCTCTACATTTATTCATGCGATGTGCTGATGACGGCGAAGATGCTACTGCTGCTGCTGCTGCTGCTAATGATGATGATGATGATGACGATGATGATGATGATGATGATGATGACGACGACGACGATGATGATGACCGATCGATTAATACTAATTAGAGGGTATACTAAATTTATTTCGTTCGTTAGATACTTTAGTGTGGCGCGTTTAAAAAAATCTTATTAATACGATACGGGCAAAACTCGAGATGCTAGAGAACACAATATACGAACAGACAATTGTTGATTTGTCGAGAAGAATTTTCGCAACAAAATAAGGTGGAACATGCGAGTTTGTAGATGTAATGCGCTCGGTATATATCGTAAAAACGCAGCTTCTGATCGTAAAATATCATAAAAGATCATTTGTCGAAAGAGCATGCTCACTGAGTGCCTAATCAGCTACCTAATTTACGTTGGCGTCCATTTAGTTGTATCGACGCTGATACCAGACATACAGGCACAGCTGCTGTCTGTCCGCATGCGATGCAGCTGCTATCTAGACTTCCATGGTTAGCTGGTAGGTAGTTCTCGCTGGTTCTAGCTTTATTGCATGTAATTCAAATACAAGTACACGTACTGAAGACAGTCTTTTTAATGGAGAAAAAATCGGATAAATGGCCTGGTAGGTAGAATGATGGAGAGGCGAGGCAAAGGTGGCAAACGAATACTGCATTAATTGCAAGTGTCGTATAGAGACCGTATGTATTAAACCCACAAAACCCATAAACCCCATTACATCCATAAAACCCATAGTGTTACGGGAACGCACGCACGCAC